ATTTCCTCCCTCTCTTGATCTAATCCGACCGACTTGACACGCTTCCAACCGAGTTTTTCAACAAAATCATATCCCGCTTTTTTAATAAATACCATGTCAATCTTGCGGGTTAATCGAACAGGGGCGTCATGCGAAAAATCAACTTCCTTCTTCTTCAACAGATGGGTGATGACACGTCCATATGGTAGTGTAGTTGAAATTGTTGCTCCCTTTGTGACCATATATACAATTAAATATGAGTTTTGCAATGTTTGGAGCCGTTTTGGATTTATACTTTGCTATCCACCAATAATCGCTGTCTCGAAGCGTTGAATGTTTTCCCCCACTAGGCCGGATATACCATGTGAGCATTTTGTGAAACACTCTCGACTCTACATCGAGGTGAATTGGGCTATTTCTAGTTACCTGTTTAATTGTAGACCAATCTACACCATTTTCATCTGAATCCCCTGTATTCGCTACACCTAAACCCTCCGCAATAGTTTCTGGATATATATATATCCTTCCCCATGACATGTGTATTAATTCCTATTATATTAGTCTTATTAGGCTCGTGCTGTAAGGAAGCATTGTTGTAGAAGACTCTAACTAGGTTGGGATAATATCTTGGTTCTACACCAAGGAATTCAAGCCAACCCCAAGATGTAAATGTGGATTTAAAACTAAATGCATATTTATCATCAAACAAGAAACCCAGTCAATGACACGTTCGGGACGAATCTTCCTTACTTTAAAACTCGTCTGCCATCTTTGTTTCTCCATGTCGGATCTAAAGTTCAGAGTTTCGAAGGACCTGATTCCTCAGAAGAATCGTTTGTTACAGAAGGAGGTGGTTGAGAAAAACTGGGTTGAGAAGAGCTTTGAGAAAGACCTCGCTTCTGACGCTGACGTTTTGGAGCCATTTTGGTTGGATGCTACCCCTATTACAATGGAACACAAACACATTCAGGAAAAAAACTCCAATATAGAAATCAATCAAACCCATAAAATATCGATAAATTTACCTGAATATCTGATCGTCACTTATGATAACGGTAGAAGAAAGAGGAAGATCTGCCTGCTTGCCTTTATGTTTAGGGTTTCTCGATTAAGAGTACTATATATCGTAAACGGTGGAAAAACACTTGATATTTAAATTAGTATCGACACAAACTATAACGTGTCGACACATTATTTAGACATATTCTCTCATAAAACCGGTATACTTGTACCGGTTTAGATTGAAAAATTACATATTACATTATACTTTTGGGTTCGATGATTTTGGGATCGACACTTTTTATATATGGATCGACACTTTATAGGTGCACCCTGTTTTCCATTCATTCTGGAAAAAAAATATCGACACAAACTATATTAGTGTCGACACATTATTTAGACATATTCTCTCATAAAACCGGTATAATTGTACCGGTTAGATTGAAAAATTACATATTACATTATACTTTTGGGTTCGATGATTTTGGGATCGACACTTTTTATATATGGATCGACACTTTATGGGTGCACCCTGTTTTCCATTCATTCTGGAAAAAAATATCGACACAAACTATATTAGTGTCGACACATTATTTAGACATATTCTCTCATAAAACCGGTATAATTGTACCGGTTAGATTGAAAAATTACATATTACATTATACTTTTGGGTTCGATGATTTTGGGATCGACACTTTTTATATATGGATCGATACTTTATGGGTGCACCCTGTTTTCCATTCATTCTGGAAAAAAAAATATCGACATAAACTATATTAGTGTCGGCACATTATTTATACATATTATCTCATAAAACCGGTATAATTGTACCGGTTAGATTGAAAAATTACATATTACATTATACTTTTGGGTTCGATGATTTTGGGATCGACACTTTTTATATATGAATCGACACTTTATGGGTGCACCCTTTTTCCATTCATTCTGGAAAAAAAATATCGACACAAACTATATTAGTGTCGACACATTATTTAGACATATTCTCTCATAAAACCGGTAGACTTGTACCGGTTAGATTGAAAAATTACATATTACATTATACTTTTGGTTTTCGATGTTTTTGGGATTGACACTTTTTATATATGGATCGACACTTTATGGGTGCACCCTGTTGGCCATATTGTAAATTTGCCTTTTACTTCAAAGTATCAACATGACCCTTAATGTGTATAAGAAACATGTACAACATACTGCTAACTTTTCTCATCTCATTCATAATTATATTCACATACAAAAATATAAATCGTATACAAAATATAAATCTTATACAAAATTAACCCTACATTTACATCATTGCATCCTTTTGTTATTCTTATGTAATATTGCAGCTTATGTTATCTCCTGTCTTCGTTCATTTTGATTGTGGCTTACGAGATCGTTTAATATTCGCGATCGATCCCAGTCTCCAACAACCTATATTCAATTGTCAGAACGTTAAGTATTGTCAACTACAGCATTCAATCTACGACTTTTAACAATTTTACCACAAACGATTTTTTCTATCCACTTACAAAATCACCAGTTGCCCCTGTAGAACCGATCGATTCCATCCACATCATCACATACATGCCGCAATCATGTCTGTTACAAAATTTGAAAACCACACATGTCAATTATGATGAATACTGCATAAATTACGCTTTCTATTTGTGATAACATCTCATACCCATTCAATTGCTTATTCTTCTTATGCTCCACAAATTTGAAATTTTTCAAGGGATACTTTCCTAGAGATCCACAGGACTCAACCCAAATGCGTTTCTTATTATAAGAATCTAATATTTTAATCTGCATTAAAATAGAAAGTTATGCACCAAAAAAATTATGCATTATAATTTACATAATGTCCTTTCATACATACATACATACCAATCTCTTAGCATCCTTCACTCTCTGTTTAGCTGCTTCAGTTGTAAACATACTATCATATATTGTTACAACACGATCTACCATATCCAACACCAACAGATACCAATGTGAATTATGGTAGTTTATTGTGATCATGATCTGCAACAAATTTCACACCCAATTTGACAAAATTCAACATTCTATATCCGAAAACATCATTTGCAATTGGTATGGTGTCTTACCTTCTCATAGTCGGTGAATTTCACATAGTTATCCAATATGACACCCCAGAAGGTAGAAATACTCTCAACACTTTCTTTGTTGTTGGCATCCAACGCCTGTTGCTGTAATTACACAACAAACATTATTAATTTACCGTCTATAACTCTACTTTTCAATATTTATTAATTTAACTCACCACTAAGAGGTATGGAAGGTAGCCAATCCTCCGGAGTGACTTTTGAGAATCGTAGCATATGGTCCAGGCGAGCAAATCGATAACCTAACAAAATTAATTACACAATCAGAACATATTCAATAAGTTTTAACATTTTCTACTTTCTACTTACCACACCGCCAACCCATTCCGTAGGCTTCAACGTTGCAACGTCGTATACAGTAGCGAATTGATTTCCCATTGAGATTACAGAATATCTGTATGAATCATTAGGATTAATATGTTGTCATGAAATATTAAATATCACTCACAAAACAATATATTTCACTTACCCCGATTCTAACTCGCTATTCCATAAATAATCACAAATTGCAGCTTCGATGTCATCAATTCCGCTTGGAATATCCGCTTTTTCAACCTACAATTTTGCATACAAATTTTTGTCACAACAACATAATAAAATCAAATTAAGTATTCTTTTATTAAACTTACCTTCTGCTTCTTCTTCTGGGGTGCAGGACATTCCGAATCCAAAACTGCTGCTATAACACTCTCTGTATAAATGACATCGACTTCCTTCATTTCTTCCATCTCTTCTTCTCCTCCTCCCTCTTTTCTTCTTCATATTTTTTCAGTTCATCGTACTTTTTTTCTACATAGCTCTTCATCTCTTTTATTTCACCCTTCAATTGAGCTCCTTCATCCGAGTATTTATCAACCACCCCCTTCACCCCCGTAAGTTCACTCCTCAAATCCACAACCTCCTTCACCACTCCCTCAAATTTTTCTCCCGTCACCATCTTAATATCACCCCTTAACACCCTAACTTCTTTCACCACTTCACCCCTCAACACATCTACTTCTTTCACCACTCCATCTATTTTTCCTTCCACTACCCTCTTATGCCTCTCAAGTGTATCTTCGACTCTCTCGAGTTTCTCTACGACTCGATCAAGTTTCTCTTCGACTCTTGATTATCTTTGCATGATTTCAAATTGGATTTTTTTTATATCAGCCAATTCAGACATCAAAATGTCGAAGTTACTATGTTTTCCCTCACCGTCGTCCCACTCACCGTCATCCCCCAATACAACCATCCATCCTTTCTTCTCCTCTGCCTCCACTGCCTCCTCTACATCCTTGCCAATAACCTTCAAAATTAAATTACAATATTAAGACATTGATTATATTCTTAATATTATTTAATTACATTTATTACCATTTCTTGCTTCTTCCCTCTATCCAACTTCAACTTCACCATCACTCTAACCACCTCTTCCTTCCCCCATGCACGGATGCGTGCCACTCCGGTTCTTTCATAAGCCGGCACTGCCTCACAGCCCGACCAAAAATCGAACAGTGCAACCTGCATTTATAATAAAATTTATATTTTTATATAAAAACACAAAAAAGTGATTCAACTCATTTACCTCTAAGATTGCTATGCACCCTTTGAGGTATCTCTGGTTGCCCTTTTTAAAGGTGATTATTGATTCAATCAATCTCGAATGGATATATTCAGCCCAATTGAATTCACCCTTCAAGCCTTCATCGCAAATGAGCTTCATATATTCCTTGTTCGTTGACGTATCACCCGTTGGACAAAGAAATATCCCGACAAGGTACAATAGAACTCGGGCCTTCAGCTCATCCCCCCAGTAAGATCCACTTTTGATATCCTCTTCAACTTCAGCATATGTCACCTTATGATTCAAACCATATTTGGAGGCAAGTGCTTTCCAGTTCTTACTCCTACAGACTTCTATAACACTTTTGCCTTTGTTTTGTACCCCCAAGACGGCTGCAACAGTTGATACCCCCAGAGGGAATGAATAATCACCATACTTAGCCATACATTGACTGACGTCAAATTGTGCCATCAAGGATCGACACAATTCCCTCCGAATAGGTCGATCCCTTACTCCGATCAACGATCCAAAACCTATTTCTCCCAACACATTCAACTGACCCTTCTCCTTAAGGTGTTTAATTAATAAATTCACCCTTTTAATGCTGCATCTTGTCGACACTTCCTACATTTTTTAACAATATATAATGTTATAGTTCTTATATATTTTGTATCAACGTATTTACAAGTTTAATGAATACCTTATTTTCATGTGCTTTCCTCCGTTCTTTTTATTCTTTACTATCATTCCTTGACTGTGTGATGTAAGGTTCCTTTTCAGCATCACTCATTGAATTCCATTTGGACCTCACATCTTTTTTCACCTAATATTAAACATAAACGTTTCTTAATCAATACATTAACACTAAATACTAATACTACTCAATGTCAATTTCATTTTACATACCGAACCGCTCTGTGTGCCATCTCCCTTCATCCTTTTGCATTCGGACATACTGTTAACATTTAAAATTTGTAATCAATTTAAAGTTTATCGATACTTTAATCCAATTACCATTTCAACAATAATAACAAAAAGACATTGATACTTACTAGAAGTACATATATCCACCCTTTGGTTGCTTTCGAGTCTCGGCCTCAATTTCAAAGTCATCTGCTCCACCAACAATTTTCCAACCCATTGACTCCATTTTCCTTCATATATCAGTTTACGCAAATCAAATTATTTGTTACATACACTTTATTCAATATACAAATATAGATAACTACTCTTGTGGTAAAACGGTTTTCTTCAAAAGATTTGAATGGCCACACCAAAATGTGTCGGCACATTTATACAACCTATAATATCATTTTCTACCTGTAATATTTAATAAAAGTATCGACATTTATATTTTTCCTTGAATATCTATTTCTACCTGTAATCGGTCCCAAATGCTTCCTTACTCCAAAACCCCAAACAACACATAAAAAGCCCTATCGCGATTACTGTAATAATAAAAAATTAGGGTTTCGACAACATACTTTTCGATTCGACTGTAGCAACAAACAAACAAACTTCGCTTTAGAAACGCCTTCTGAAATGCAGCAACAATTACGCTTCGATTTCAAAAACTCGTCCGTTCTATCTTTTTTCAGAGGATATTTAGCTATGGCCTTTATATTTTCATCGGATATGTTATTTATATTTAATCGATACAAATACAAAAGTGTCGATACTTTTATGTCAGGTGTCGATACTTTCGAAAGGATAATTACCTATTTCTTTGAAAGTGTCGATAATTTATTACACGTACTTACGAAAGTATCGACACTTTCAATATATCCGGTATCATTTTACCGGTTTTATCATTTTGATATCGGTTTTATCATATTTTACCTGTTATATCGTGTGGATCGATATATTTTTTAAAGTATCGACGCATTATAGGCGCTATAACTGCTTCTCTTTTAAATTCACAAAGTGTCGATCCTTATATAAAGTATCGACACTTTTAATATATCCGGTAACGTTTTACCGGTTTTATCATTTTGTTACCGGTTTTATCATATTTTTACCTGGTATATCGTTTTGGATCGATACATTTTTTAAAAGTATCGACACTTTATAGGATTTAAAACTGCTTCTCTTTTAAATTCACGAAGTGTCGATCCTTATATTAAAGTACCGACACTTTAAATGTATCCGGTAGCGCTTGACCGGTTTTATCATTTCTATACCGGTTTTGTCATAGTTTTACCTGTTATATCGTTTTGGATCGACACATTTTTAATTTGGATCGACACGAACCGGTAGCACAATTTTTTAATATTTCTTCATGACTTAGACCTACTTTTATAAGTATGGACACTTTTATAAAAATGATATATACTTTTTTTAAAGTTATGTAATTTATGTTTCAATTTTTTTTAATAGTGTTTCATGTTTTCCACCTACAATATTAATTTAATAATTTAATTTACACAAAATATTATTTGATTGTTTTGATATTTTATAAAATATTATTTAGAATTTAAATTTAACAATATTAACCAAATATAATAATAAATATGTTTTCAACAGTGAAATAAGTATGGACACTTTTATAAAAATGATATATACTTTTTCGAAAGTTATGTAATTTATGTTTCAATTTTTTTTAATAGTGTTTCATGTTTTCCACATACAATATTAATTTAATAATTTCATTTACACAAAAAATTATTTGATTGTTTTGATATTTTATAAAATATTATTTAGATTTTAAATTTAACAATATTAACTAAAGATAATAATAAATATATTTTCACAGTGAAATAAGTATGGACACTTTTATAAAAAAGATAGATAATTTACAATATAACAGGTAAAAATATGACAAAACCAGATTCATTATGACAAAACCGGTAAAATTTACTTGATATGTTAAAAGTATGGACACTTTTATAAAAAGGATAGATACTTACCGATAACCAAAGTTTACCGGTTACCAAATTTTTTAATAGTTTTTCATATTTTCTACCTAAAACATTATTAGTTGTCAACATAATAGGTACCGCTAAACCGAATTTATTAAATACATTTTAATGTATCCGGTAATGCTGTATATTAGCCGTATATTAACCCGCCTTTTCTGAGACATTCCCGTCAGGGAAGAGTCTTGTTTTGTATGGGAATTTGGTGATAAGGGCAGGATTTAAAATTAAAATTTGAGGTGATAAGGGAGGCTGATTATCAATTCAAAAAGAATCGACTTTGATAAAGGAGATGGTCGGTCGAAAAGAATAAGGGGAAGAGGTAAGAATGTTGGCGGCAATGTGACAAAAGTTGGGTTTGGGGTGCGCTAATGTGCGCCGGTTATAGAGGGTATGCTAACGTATACTGTTAATGAAACGGTGCGCATAGGTCTGAGGTAAAATCTTTTTTTGCTGCCACTCGACACCAACTTCAAAAATGGCCAAAATTCTGCTCCAATTTGGCTTTAAATTCGGTCGGGTCCTGCTTCAATTGAAACAATTTTTCACTTCGGCTTTATTCGATCTTCAATTAAAATACTCGGGGTATCTACAAAATTCAAATCAAGAATTAAAAACGTAAAAAAATTAATGAAAATAACAAATGAAAAATTGAAAACTAAAGATTGAAAATAAAATAAAATAAACAAATTAAAATAAAATGAAATGGGTTTCCTCCCATAAAGCGCTATTGTTTAACGTCGTTAGCTCGACGACCTGATTATTAAAGTGTGGGTTCTTCTAAGTCAATCTTCTCTACTAATCCAACCGAAGTGTGTTTGTAATACGGCTTCAATCTCTGACCGTTTACTTTAAATCATGCTCCTGAATTATCTTCTATCTCTACTGCGCCATGAAGAAAAATCTGAGTCATCGTAAATGGTCCTAGCCACTTTGATCGAAGTTTACATGTAAAAAGCTTAAGTTTAGAATTAAATAACAAAACCTTTTGATTAACAATAAATTATTTAAAGGATGTTCTTCGATCATGGAACTCTCTAGTTTTCTCTTTAAAAAATTTGGTGCTACCGTAAGCATTTCATCTTATCTCTTCTAATTCTTGGATATGTAGCTTTCGTGCTTCTCCGATTGCTTCCATTTCCAAATTACATTGCTTCACTACCTAATATGCGAGATGTTCAAGTTCAACCGGAAAATGGGATGGTTTACCAAAAACAATGCGATATGAAGACATTCCAATCGATCCTTTATAAGTTGTTTTGTATGCCTAAAGTGCGTCGAGTAATTTTAAGCTTCAATCCTTCCGATATGGCTTGACAATTTTTTTTCTAAAATCGCCTTAATTTTGTGATTTAACACTTTCACTTGCCCATTTTTTATGGATGGTAAGCTGGGACGATTCTTTGTGTCATGCCAAACTTCTTCATAAATGCCTCGATAATGTGATTGATGAAATAGGTTCATCTGTCACTGATAATCGCCCTGGTGTGCCAAATCTGGAAAAATTAACAATTTTTAAAAAATTCACAGTAGTTATGGCATCATTATTGCGGGTTACTTTTGCTTCAACCCATTACGAAACATAGTCAACAACGAGAATAATATATGTGTTACCAAAAGACAAAACGAAATGACCCATATAATCAAGACCTCATACGTCAAAAAATTTGCATATATAGATTGGATTTAAAGGAATTTCACTTATACGACTTAGATTACCTACTCGTTGACACTTTTTACATGATTTACAATGAAAATAAGCATCTATAAAAATATTCGGCCAAAAGAAATCGCATTCTAAGATCTTATGAGCAGTGTGTTTTAGTCCAAGATGACCACCACACGAGTATGAATGAAAGAAATTAAGGATCGAGTTCACCTCTTCTTCGGCGACACAACGTTGGATTACCTGATCGGAGCAGTGCTTCCAAATATAGAGATCATCCTAAATGTAAAATTAGGTTTCCCTCTTGATTCAATTAATTACCGCTCTTGGTAAATGCATCAGAACTTTACCCGTGGCTAAGTAATTCACCCTGTCGGCAAAACATGGCAAATTCTTTTGTTGCAACATCAAGTGTTCATCAAGAAATTCTCCCTTAATTTTTGGGTTGGATGAGATGATATGAATTCAACTCAAGTGATCGGCTACTAAGCTTTCTCGCCTCTTCTTGTCTTTTATTTCCAAGTTGAACTCTTGAAGGAGTAGAATCCAACGAATTAGCCTCGCTTTTTTCCTTCTTACTCATTAGGCACCGTAATGTTACATGATTAGAAAAAACTATTACATTAGTACTCAATAAATATGACCGAAATTTTTGTAAAGCAAATACTATGACAAGAAGTTCTTTTTCAGTTGTAAAGTAGTTTCTTTTAGACGAGTCTAAGGTGCGGGACACATATGCAATAATGTGCGGCTCCTTGCCAATATTTTGGCCGAGAATGG